AGCTCCAAGATGCAGAACCCTCAGCCGCTACTCACTAAAGTAGTACAAAACAGATCAGTAGACCAGATAGAAAAGAAGTTGACTTGAATGTTTAAGCCTTTCAGTGAATTACAGTTAGTATGTTTTAGCCGTTAGTGTGGCGCTAAGCAAGTTAGCTCAGCCTTCGGATGATTCCGTGGGCAGGTTAGTAGATTAAGCAGTTCGGATGCAGCAGATAGACCAAGGTCCAGACCAGTCCAGTGTAGATCAGATGTACATCTCAGTGTTTTTATTGGGCATGTATATTTGTAAACATTATTTTCCAGTTGAACCGTAGATTCAATCATGTGGGTTTGTAATATTTTTTGAAGTGTAAATATTTTATTTTGGAGCTCCTCGGTGAAAAGATTTTTATTATATTTCAATTTATTTTATGGTTGGTTATATTAGTCATTTTAAAGCATGAGAAAGTAAGTTTAAAGTAGGTTAGCCATTTTGGTGGTTTCGTGTAGCACCTTAAATCGGTCGACTGTGTATTGCACCGATCTAGGTCAGCCTTTTGTTGGTGATTGAGAATTATTTTTAAACTTATGCTATCTTGTACTTACCCCAAATTAATAAAAAAAAATTATATTATTTTTTTTTAAATTTCAAAAGTTATTTATCTATTATTAAATCATTATTTTTTAGAACGTGGGATAAAAATATATTTCTCTTCGTGATAACATTATGGGTAAACTATCTATTTAGTTACTCATTTATTATTTCGCTTATGTTTTAGTTATCTAACATTTTTTAAACTATATTTAACATTAAGTTTTATTTTAATCACTTATCTATTTAAAATTAATGTTGATATTGACATGATATTTTTATATTTTTTAATTTTTACATCATTTTTTATCATCAATAATTCGGAGAAAATTTTTAATGATTTTATTCAATCAATAAGATAATGAAAAAAATCAAACGAATAAAAAAAAAGTTAAGAATGGAAATCAAATTTTAGCTCTTTTGAAGAAGGGCCAATCATCTAGCCACTATGCTAAGCATATTAATTGTGATTCTTTCACCATAAATATATATTTAAGTTATACCATATTAACACAAAATATAAATGTCTTTAGTCATGAACCAACTTACTTCAGTGATTAAAAGAATTGCTGTTGTTCTTAGGGGTCACGGGTTCGAGCACCAACGGCTGCAACAGGGTGATTGAACGTTCATTGCCAAATGATTGAGAGTATTTAGAAAAGATACTACTTTATAATCATCTTAGCTTGGTTAATGAATAAATAAATGACTTTAGTTGAATTTGGTCCTCAATCTTATGACCTTTCACTAACATAACCAAATGCTTAACCATTAAGTAAGTTAAAAATTTATTTATACTCCATTGATCTTAATATTTAATTTAAATATATGTTAAATTATCTCAAAATAATCTTTTTTGACTTTGAATTTTATTATAGAATACACACTAAGACATTATATAATGTTAATAACCTAACGACAGATTAACTAGACATTTCTAGCCATGGACTGACGTAGGATTTTATGTTAAGAGTTGAAAAATTATAAAATTTCAAGGGAAACAAACTTATCAAATTTAGGAGGCTGAGAACTGTTAGGACCGTCAGCGTACCCCACAGTGCAGCGAAAACAAAAACTCGATGGTCTCACCAGTGATCCAAGTACGTAAAACCGAAATCGGGAGGAAATGATGCGGATACTTACAATGGGTTCCTTGAAAAACAACGAAGAAACCAGCGACTAGTGGTGATCATGAACAGTTCAAATCATAAACCTCCACGAAAACACGTCTCAGCCTCTACTTAGTTCACCCGATTGAGAGCAAAATTTTCTTTTCCCAAAATCGGTTTTGAGAAAAACGACTGAAGTAAAACGGATGCTAGACCTTACCTCATTTAAATATATTAGTTACCCTAACATATTAGGGATTTTAAGTTATTTCGAATTAAAAAAACAATGTATTTAATTAATTCAAATTAAATATACATTGAAGACTTATAATTTGAATTAAAATCTTTAATGTTTATTTAAAATCTTATTTAATTACTCTGAAATAAATATCAATTAAAAGAGTTGTAATCAAAATTACATTCTTTTAATGTTTACTTACTATATTTGGAATAATTAAAATCATATGTATATCAAATATCCATATATTAATATCCTAGGGTGTCACCCTGTAGGTTCTTGTAACGTTAGTAGTAATTATTAGAACAATTCTAATATTACATACAATGAGTGACATCTAGCAATATATCATTGTCACCTAAGTTACAAGAAATTATGATTCGACATATCATCTTCGTGATTAACTCTTTTATGTATTACATCCTTTTGTCTTTTATATCTAGAATAGGCATAAGTCTTGGAATAATCACACTTGTATAACCCATCTATTATTTCTTGATATCTAGAGTATACTTCAATTAACGAATAATTTGTGATATCTTATATTAACTTATTCGAGCATGGCCATGCGTTTCTAGTCTCACTCAATCAAGTGACATGTGATATATTTCCTATTATGTAGGAAGGACAAATCCTATCTTAATCATACACACCCACTACATTTATTGAGATATATTCAATAACAGTCTTTATAGAGCAACCAGTTATGGAGCTTGTTTAACTGCATCAAAACATACAATAATATATGTTGAGATAATATTGATCTTAAGTCTGAGGATCATACATATAGTCATCACCATGAGCAATTTTATGGCTATCGCATAATAATCCAAGACATATGCTCATGGTAGGTCAATCCAATACATTGTTCTCTAACAATATAATCATATGTCAATCCTGACATCTCTATGTCAATGACAACTCGTTGTCATCAATCAATAACATGTTAGTCTTAAGCGTATTATTATTGTCCATGCCCATATTAATACTTGACTAGGGATCTTTTAATAATAGCAATTATGTTATTATATAGACTTTATTATCTTCCAGTTTATGTTAAACACATATATATAACTGAAAATAATAGCGGTAATGCCTTTATTCAATAAAATCGATAAATAAATGTATTATTACAATCGTCATATGATTGGTCTTTGGGCATACTCTAACAATCTCCCATTAGCACTAAGACCAATCACTCACATATCTAATATCGAGTGACTCAGTGTGACGATCATGCCTCTGTTGTGTAAGAGGCTTCGTCAAGGGATCAACAATGTTGGCATCCGTGTGTACTCTACATATTTCCACATATCCTCGATCTATGATCTCTCGAATAAGATGAAAACGCCTAAGAATATGTTTGGATCGTTGATGAGATATGGGTTCCTTTTCTTGTGCAATGGCTCCATTATTTTCACAACGAAGTTCTACATCATCTGATATGCTGGGAACAACCCCCTAATTCCGTTATGAACTTGATCCAAACAACCTCTTTTGCTACTTCACTGGCTACAATGTATTCAACATCTGTTGTAGAATCAACTACTATATCTTGCTTCGAACTTTTCCAGCTCAAAGCACCTCTATTAAGACAAAACACAAAACCCGATTGCGATCATGAGTCATCCTTGTCAGTTTGGAAGCTGGAATCAGTATAACCTTTTACACTAAGATCTTCTTCCCCTCGATAGACAAGAAATTTATCCTTAGTTCTTCTTAAGTACTTAAGGATATTTTTAACCGCAACCCATTGATTTTCAGCAGGGTTTGCTTGATATCGACTCGTCATGCTTAAAGCATACTATACATCTGGTCGGGTACATATCATGGCATGCATGATAGAACTAATAGCCGAAGCATATGGAATCTTATTCATCCGTTCTCTTTCTTGTAGAGTTGAAGGACACATTTCATTCAAGAGACAAAATGCCATGTCTCATAGGCAAAAATAATTTCTTGGATTCTTCCATACTAAACCTTTTCAGCACTTTGTCTATATATGTACTTTGACTCAGACCTAGAAGTCGTCTTGATCTATCTTTATAGATCTTAACTTCTAAGATATACACTGCCTCACCCAAATCTTTCATAGAAAAACAATTATCTAACCAAGTCTTAACATACTGTAAAGTGGGTATATCATTTCCTATGACGAGTATGCCTACATTTTCATTGATCTTAATATTTAATTTAAATATATGTTAAATTATCTCAAAATAATCTTTTTTGACTTTGAATTTTATTATAAAATACACACTAAGACATTATATGTTGTTAATAACTTAACGACGAATTAACTAGACATTTCTGGCCATGGACAGACGTAGGATTTTATGTTAAGAGTTGAAAACTTATAAAATTTCAATGGGAACAAACTTAACAAATTTAGGAGGTTGAGAACAAATTTTCAATAAAAAGTACAAAAAAATATTTAAAATGTATAAGAATTTGAATTTTTTAAGGGACGCAATCGGCCTCATTCGCTTCTTTCAGTCCATCCTTGTTTCCACCTAAGCTAAGTATTTTTCACATAACATTGATAATACATAATATTTTGTAACATTTACAAACCTAAGTTATTATTTTATAATAATCAAATAGTTTAATGACCATCTTGTAGCATTTCCAGATTTCAACGACCAGTTTATTTAGCGTATTTTCCTTGTAAAATTTTGTATAGAATATTGTTTAATTACCTTTTAGAGATGATGTTAGAAACAAAAGGTTGAATCACAAGCCAACTCTTAAAATAAATCATTAACTACGACTGAATTTTTAGAAACCCGAAAAGAAATATAGACCAATTAGGTAAACGCCCCAAGCCAGCCCACCGATGGACCATTAACGGTATCTAATGGCCCAATACCTATTTTGCATCAAAATCTAAAAATTAACGCATATGTTGTAACTTTTGAAAGTTTAGTGTTAAAAAAATCATTTTTGAAATAATTTACTATCATTTGTGAACTTCACCCCCAAAAAGAAATAAATTTGCTACTCAGCTTTTAGATACCAAAGTGAAAACATATTAAATGTTTTATGAGAAAAAAGCATACAAGTTAGAATTGTTTTGTATATGAACAAAAAAAAAATATGCATTGTATTGTATGATGGTCAAATCATAAAACTTGCTTCTCTAGCTTCAAGATTGCCATGAAGGCTTCTTGTGGTACATCTACTTTACCTATTGCCTTCATTCTTTTCTTCCCTTCAGCCTGTTATGTTAACAAAGGAAACTGGATTTTAGGGGGGGGGGGGGGAATACAACTTTCTTGATGCTGAAGAAAAGTGACAAGGAAAGTTGGAGACTACATTTTAGATTTATATTGAGCAATGCCATTGATGTTATTCTGCATTACTTTTGGGTCTTCTATCATATCAGGTGTTCGTTTAAATTTTTTCATATTTACTCTACGAGTACTTAACCCTAACTATCCACATCTAGCTTCTTTCAAATTAGTATACAGCATATTACCAGTATTTCCAGCAGCAATTATACTCTTTTTCGACCTATTCGGAGCAACCTAGTTCTGAATGCAATGCTTATGGGACCTCAAAAAGACCAAGTAATAATGTGTTTCAAGGTGTCTAAGAATACATCTTCATGTGATAAGCTTCTAAAAGATTTTGCTTTCTTCTTCCCTATGGATGTAATGGTTATATTGTGACAGTTCAGTATAACTGTCCTGTTATGATAACGGAACAATAGAAACAAGCCAAGAGTAAAATAGACTGGCAAAAAGCCTGCTGATCATAGAAAAGAGGTTATTCAGCATTACGCTATTGAACCTTGACACCAATATTTTCGGCAAGAGAAGATGAGAAAACATAGTACGGGTTGATGAAATATTGTGAGAAGTAAATAAAGGCACCTGTTTCTTGAGGAGTTTCTTTTTTCTTGAGATATCCCCACCTACGAAGTTAAACAAAGACAAAATCTTTTCATCATGCAATAAAAAGACATCAATGAATCGTTATAATTCAATTAAAACCGAGGTACATCTGAAGCCTAACTGTAAACAGAACAGGTTATCTTGTAAAGAATTTCTTTAATAATAATAAATCCATTATTTTCCAAATAATCTCCCCACATTCCACAATAGACTTACCGTAGCATTTGGCCAAAACATCCTTTCTAATTGCTGATAAAGTTTCACTAGCAATTACTTTTGAACCTATGCATGCCTGAAACGTGCATGTAAAACATGAATGAGTATGCACTGAATAATGGGTGAAAAAATAAAAACAAAAACAATTCATTCAAAAGGAAAAATACATTCCTGATGGTTCATAATGATTTTCTGTTTTTCCCATTCCGTTTCTTGTTTTTAATTATAGATAAAAAGTGTTAACAAAAGATGATGTTCGTTAACTCCAGTGTCTGATCATAAATATTATATGGTGTCTAATACAAACACCTCAAAGATATGTTTAATTACAATATATGATTGGAACAGAAGCTCCATAGTTGTGACTCTAATCTCCTTCACGAGGGCATACACATGGACAACCTCACATGAGATTAGGCTAGAAGAATAGAACACCCATGAGCTCTGATACCATGTGAAAGGGAAAAAGAAATCTTTCTTTGTATACATTCAAGTAATAGAATAGGTAAATATATACATAACAAGATAAATAATCAAATCAATCTAGTTCGTAAACTAAACTATCGAAAGTCATCCCAATAATTAAGTAAATATTTAATTACTATATTTATAACACTAGCATTCCAAGCATTTGGAACATCACATAAGCATAGGAAAATAGTAAATACGAAGAAAGAATTAAATTGTTTGCAGGATTCTCAATTTCAATGCCCAAGAATCAATGCCTTTCACCGTCAAATAGAACATGGAAGAGTTGAATAGGTCAAATTAAATTACTTTATATCAAGTTTCACAAAGGTAAATGATTCAACCCTACTCAGTAGTTAAATGAAATGACCAGTTTTTTTACAGTTTGTTTCTATGCAACTTCGAAAAGAAACCAGCATAATAGTAGTTCATTAATGACAGAAAATTTATGGTAGTACACATATATTAAACAGTTATAATTTTTAGACAGTTAAGTACTGAACAGCATACTGTTTCATCCAAAAGAATCAAATTAGCAGATACATGCAACAACAAAGCAGCTTCTATGCATCATGCGGTCTTTAAATGATAGATAATATATACCAGATACTTAACAAGAAATTGTTAAAAACATCTTACTTGAATTGGTACTTTAAACATTTGTCTAGGTATCAACTCCTTCAGCTTTTGAGTCAAAGCCCTCCCAACAGAATATGCCTACAGAAAGGTAGGCGAAGTTGATTAAACGGATTTTTTAACTTCCAAACTTGAGTATGGTTCAACGAACCGAGAAGGAGTAACGATGTCATAATACACATCTTTGAAAACCAAAAATTGAGAATACAACCAAGCACATTCCAATACTTACAAAACATTCTCGAATAATATCAAAAGTTGAAACAGAGATACAGTTGGAATATAACCCTTTACCAAAGAATACAGGTAACATTTGTAACAATAAAGAGCACAAGAAACAGAACATGGAACCATCAAAAACTTTGTTAAAAAGGTAATCACATGATAGATTTAGGTCCTTCAGTGACTTTTAAGTCTTATAATATCAAGGTTTTCCTTATATAATTGTTTCTAACATTTAAAGAATTATCATGTTAATAATATTTAAACATGAGTGAGAGAGGCAGAGGCGCAGAGAGAGAGAAGTTGAAAGGTCAGTCCTTCTCCGGTGAGGTTTGGACAGCTTTCGTCGATAATCTGAGTAAGAGAGTTTCAAGAGGAGCGTTAAGGGAACTGTTCCTCTTTCAGAGTCCTGTAGTGAGAGTCTTCATCCCAAGAGAAACGAATCATCCAAAATACAAATCCTCCACTTCCGCTTTTGTGCAGTTTGGCAATGAGGCAGGTCTAAGGAAGGCTATCGAGAATGTAAATGGATCGTTCATAGATGGGAGGAAAGTATCAGTAGGAGTTGCAAAATATTAGAACGCTCGTTCAAGGACAGTGGGGACAAAACAAAATCTGACTGATGCTTCAAGGCCGAATATAGAAGAAAGAACAAAGTTAAAAGAGAAAGCTGAGATGCCGAGGAGTATAAGGGACGATAGATACTATAAAGAAGCTCTGTTTACGGACAGAAGGCAGAGACTCAACCTTATATCAAATTCGCAATCCATACAGGCTATGTACCCATCAATCAACCACACACCAAGTCACATACTTCAACCTATCTTTAGCGTTCCCATCAATCAACCAAATTACCTTGTTCAAACAACTTAATTTTGGGCAATCTTTTTGCTACGCTTAAAATTCCATCATATAAATACGAAAGACTCAACCTTATATCAAATTCGCAATCCATACAGGCTACGTACCCCTTTTACCAAGTAAGAACACACTTCCTACTTGATAACTCATATAAGAATTGATTATAAAGAGAGAAAGGAACCAAAAAAAAAAAAAGGTTGCACACAGTATCTTTCAGTGGATCAGCAGCAAACCATTTCCGTTTTATGCAAATCTTGTTGGAATCTAAAATTAAAAAATAAGATACATGTCGACTCATTTTATCAGAAATTTGCAGTCATTTAAATGAGAGAATCCCACCCATCCATTTAAACATAAGAACAGGGATTTTCCTCCTTAAGAGTTAAAACATAATGAAGAGACAAGCCTTACCTTATCCTTGTGCACAATGGTGGACAATGGTTCCACTTGCTCACCATTAATCTGAATGTCAAGCTTTATCAATTCACTTTCCTTATATCTGGTAGAGAAGGAAGAGGTTATACCATTGTGATTGTGGTGCAAATAGCAAATTTGAAAAGCTTGATTTTCCAAAATAAAAATTTATAATTAGTTTTAAGAGCTTACTTGTCGTAATCACGAAATGTTTTCTTTTAATAAAATGTTAAGCAAATAAATTTCAAGACAAAACATCATTGCAGATTTATACAAATTAGTGCCAATTTTATAGTGGAGAGATGAAAGGAACAATGGGATAAATGTGACAATGAAAAAAAGAAGAATAATTGGGCAAAATGAAATTTCATATCTGAAAAATATGTCGTCTCTGACCAACAGAAGTAACTCCGGAGTTGATCCAAAAAGTCAACATTTCTTGCAGAATGAAAAAATGTAAAGGATGCCAAATTACAATGTTGAATTACCATCTCCCTTATTATACATCTTATACTTTATTTTCATTCAAGATAAAAGTAGTGATATAGAATAAAAACACACTAGATAAACTTCAGAAGTGTTTACTACCAGTGAACAAGGAAAACAGTTTACAGCCCTCAAAATAAGAATATAAAATCTACTCTTACAAGAGCTCACCCAACGAAAGTATATTCCATGCTAGCATAGCCCTTACTTCTGGACTTTAACTGGTCGAAAAAGTCACCTACCATCTGTGAAATGAATATACATATAGACTGAGTAAAAGAATAATGGAAAATTATACATAAAAATGGTTAACGCTATCTATAAAGAGAACTTTGGCCGCGAATAAAGCAGGATGATCCAAAATAAAAGGGTAGATCTCACCTCTGCAAGGGGTAGCTCATAGATGATGGATGCTCTATTCTCAGTGATATATTTCATCTCTTTGAACTCACCTCTTCTGTCTTGAGCCAATTCCATCAATGAACCAATATAGTCCTTCGGTGTAAGCATCTCAATCTGTACATGTTACATTATAAAGAACATCATACAAATTTACAAGTTTCAGAGAAACTCATTTAAAGTAATTAAGTAATAAATAACTCGAAACAAATGAAATAACCTTAACAAGTGGCTCCTCAATCGACCTCCGTTGTCCAGGTTCAGGAAGTAAGGATGGATTTGAGCACTCAACCTTATATAATATTAATATTTGAAATGTAATAGTATGAGACAAAACATGCTATATTTAAACAAATTCCTTGTACAGGAGAAACCTAATATAATATAAATAAAAAGTGCGAAGGGTTGAGAAGAAATTACTGTTTCATTATTAACACAGTTCACTCTGTACACGACACTTGGAGCAGTGGTTATTAGGCTCAGATTGTACTCCCTTTCAAGTCTTTCCTGTAAAACTATAAATCGTAAGAACCGACACTGAATTTAAAAAATTCTCAACAATTTCAACTTGTAGTAAGAAGCGACAGCAAGACACGATTCAGGGGCAAAAAGGTCATGCCTGAACAATTTCCATGTGGAGAAGACCCAAGAAGCCACATCTAAAGCCAAAACCCATAGCAGTTGAGGTCTCAGGCTCAAACTACAAATTTATAACCAAAACAATAACAAACAGAAACATTATCACACCGAGTAATTTCATCGGGAAATCTATCAATACTAACATATATGGCAAGATATCTGAAATCCCACCAGCATTGCTAGGGATGATACCATAATTTGCAAATATGATCATTTTTATACACATCTTATTAATTAATTACGTTCAGATTTAATGCAAAAAATTATCAATAAAGCAAAGAAATTTGTGAATTTTAAAAGAAAAGAACGGATAAAATAATTAAGTCTATGCATGAGAGAATAGCAAACTATTACTAGCAATATAAGCACCATGTTTTGGATCTTATAGTAATTGAATTTTTATTTCTTAACTATTTTTATTTAATAAAATAAGTAGTATAATTGTATATTTCTAGCTAATTAAGTATAACATCTAATATATTTTTTGATAGAAAAGGGAGGTCTAATTAAAAAACCCCTTCATAACCGTCGAAATACCGGGAAGTTCCTGACAGATATTGGAAGGAGAAAAAGAGTACCTCAAATTTATTACCAATCTGCCAAAATTACAAGGGGAACACAGATCCTACAACGATAATAGACACCCAACAACATGACCCAAACCTCCTACAGACAGCCATAACAACACAATAGACTACGTAAGAACTATTAACTGATTCCCAACTTTGCAAGTTCATCAGCCTTCCAATTAGTACATCTCTGAATATGTTTGACAATTACATTCCGATCCAACACCTTAGCACCAATTTTCTTCACTAAAGATTCAAACAAGGCTGGGCATGAGCCAGGATTTTTGATCCACTCCAAGGCCTTAATACAATCACTCTCCAGAATCAATCTTGCTTTAGACCCCCAACCTGACTTAAAAAAAAAGCGTAACCCAGCTTTAATTGCAATTGTTTTAGCCAATATAGGGGGACCAAGCCCAACTTGTTCCGAGAAGGACCTCAACAACAAACCATTCAAGTAATGTAATAAGCCTCCTATACCCCCTCTTTGTCAATCCTTATCCATCACTCCATCGACGTTGACCTTGAAGAAACCCAAGGGAAGAGGAGACCATACGGGGACTAGGATGACTGATTGCAAGTCTTCGAAAACTCCCATGAAAGCAAATTTAAAGTTACGAAAGGAAAGTTGTCCCGTAAATAAGGAACAATATCAAAGGTTGGTAGGTAAGCTAATTTATCTATCACTAACTAGGTCGGACATCGCTTTTCTAGTCAATATCGTGAACCAAGACATGAACGATCCTAGAGAACATTTAGAAGCTGTGTATCGAATCATGACGTATTTTAAAATGACTCCAGGACATGGGTTAATTTTCAGAAAGCATGAAGATAGGATAGTAATTTTTTTTTCATATTCTAGATGGGCTTGAGAACTAACGAACAAGAGATTGACTACGGGTAATTGTTCATTCGTATGGGAAAATTTGGTGACATGGAGAAGCAATAAACAAGTCGTAGTTTCCAGGAGTAGTGTTGAAACATAATTTCGGGCAATAGCACTCGAGATATGTGTATGTGTTTGGTTACTAAGGCTTTTAATGGAATTAGAGGAATGTAATAAAAACTACTTTGAACCTCAGAGGGACAGCAAGTCAACCATAAGCATTGCTAAGAATCTGGTACATCACGATAGAACGAAACATGTGGAGATCGACAGACACTTTATTGTCAAGAAGGTAAACAGTGGAAAAGTAAGACTAAACTACGTCTCTTTAAAAATCAGCTAGCAGACATCCTGACCAAAGCTATTCTAAGGGTTGCTTTCGACAAGATCACATCCAAGCTAGGTATTTATAATACATACTCTCCAGCTTGAGGGGGAGTGTGAGTTACGTTACGTGAAAGAGTTATTTTCTTGTAAATATTAAAGTTTTATTTTATAACTCTAACCTTCATTGTAGATAAAGATAATTTTTAACTTAGCCAGAACTCTTACTTTAGCTTAAGACTATTAGTCATTTCTTATATAAAACCCTACAGTAACCATTAAGTTTGTAACATGAATAAAACTTATTTTTCTTTCTCCAGTAAATTACTTTTCTACACATTCTTTATAAGTTTTTAAAAACACCTCTTGTTCACCACCCAATTACCTATGCATAAATTATTTTTTTCTTATATGATTATTTTAAGATGGACATCTACTTTTGTTGAAAATTTGGTCATTGAAAGCCTTGATTTAGTCATAATATTCTAAGATTTGTTTTCTATGTAAATCAAGAAAAAGTAGGAAAGTAGAAGCTGTCAAATATTGGCTCTAATTAGTTTCTTTTTTTGTTGTAATTTCCCTCTGTATAAAAGGAGCCTTGTACTCATTCAAGAATAAGACACATATTATTTCTTCATTCTTTTCTAATTTGGTGTCAGAGCCATAATCGTGTCTTAACCCTAAAACACAGCAGTTCCAAAATCACTGTAGCCATGTCCGAAGTCGCGTTGGAAATCACCTCAACCCCTGCTGCGGCCACTCCGCAACACCATTCCAATTCTCATTCTGTCCAAATCACCACCATCCGCTTAAATGGTGACAACTTCCTCCGATGGTCACAATCAGTCCGGATGTATATTCGTGGGCAAGGAAAAATCGGTTACATCACTGGTGACAAGAAGGCACCTGCTGTTGATGATCCGCTGTACGCTACTTGGGATTCTGAAAACTCCATGGTTATGACATGGTTGGTCAATTCCATGGAGGAGGACATAAGCTCCAATTACATGTGCTATCCTACTGCAAAAGAATTGTGGGATAATGTTAGTCAGATGTATTCTGACCTAGGCAACCAATCTCAGGTTTTTGAGTTGACTTTAAAATTGGAGGAGATTCGTCAAGGAGATAATTCTATCACCACATATTTCCATTCGTTGAAAAGGCTGTGGCAGGATCTTGATCTCTTCAACACATACGAATGGAAAAGTATTGACGACTGTAATCACCATAAGAAAACTGTAGAAGATAATCGTATTTACAAGTTTCTTGCCGGCCTCAATGTTGAGTTTGATGAAGTACGAGGAAGGATTATTGGCAGACCTCCTCTTCCATCCATTGGCGAAGTATTTGCCGAAGTTAGAAGAGAAGAAAGCCGAAGGAATGTCATGCTCAAAAAGAAGAGTACTGGTGAGTTAATTGAAAATTCTGCCTTATTGAGTGATGTTGCAGCCTACAAGGTAGCAAACTACCAGCGTAGGTCTGATGATAAACCACGGGTCTGGTGCGATTTTTGCAACAAACCCCGCCATACACGTGAGACATGTTGGAAAATTCATGGCAAACCTGCTAACTGGAAAAGCAACAAGCAAGGAGAGAAGAATCGTGGAATTCCTACTACAAGTGAAGCTGACTCAGGTCCCTTCAACAAAGAGCAGATTGATCAACTCTTGAAACTGATAAAATCCAATTTCTCATCCGGTATTCCTAGTGTTTCTTTGGCACAAACAGGTAGTAATCCTAAAGCCCTTTCTTGTCCAAATTCCTCTCCGTGGATAATAGATTCCGGAGCCTCAGATCACATGACTAGTTTTTCTCATTTATTTAATACCTATTCACCTTACCCTGGAAATGAAAAAATTGGAATTGCCGATGGCAGTTTTTCACCTATTGCAGGAAAAGGACTCATTAAACTGACAGAGAAAATTAATCTCAATAATGTTCTTCATGTCCCTAAATTAGCCTGCAATCTTTTGTCTGTCAGTAAACTATATAGAGATTCTAATTGTTGCATTACCTTCTTTGAATCACATTGTGAATTTCAGGACCGGAACTCGGGGATGATGATTGGACGTGCTAAGATGATTGAAGGTCTTTATTACTTTGATGAAGTATCTATCAGTAATAAAAAAGTTCAGAGCTTTAGTGGTATTAGTTCAATTTTTGTTCGAGAAAAAATAATGTTGTGGCACTATAGACTAGGACATCCTAGTTTTCTTTATTTGAAACACTTATTTCCAGAATTATTTAAAGGGATTGATTGTTCTTCTTTTCATTGTGAAAATTGCATTTTTTTCAAAAACCGTCGTTCCCCTTATTTACCAAAAGATTATCAAGCCTCCAAACCTTTTTATCTGATTCATAGTGATGTTTGGGGCCCTTCTAAAGTTACTAATATTTCTGGTAAAAGGTGGTTTGTTACTTTTATTGATGACCACACACGGTTATGTTGGATTTATCTAATGAATAAAAAGTCTGACATGCAAGATTTATTCAAAAATTTTTACACTCTGATTGAAAACCAATTTCAAACCAAGATTAGTATTTTACATTCTGACAATGGAACAAAATATTTTAATGAGCACTTAGGTGATTTTTTGAAAGAGGGATTTTTCACCACTCTACATGTCGGGATCCCCTCAACAAAATGGCATTGCAGAACGAAAAAATAAACATTTACTTTAAGTAGCACGTGCCATAATGTTTTACATGCATGTTCCCAAATACTTATGGGGTGAAGCAGTTTTAACAGCCGCTTACTTGATAAATAGGATGCCTACTAAGGTGTTAACATACAAAACACCACTCGATTGCCTAAAATCATCTTTTCCTGGAACAAGGTTGTTTTCTGAGTTACCTGTAAAAGTTTTTGGATGTACTGTCTATGTTCATGTTCCATGCCAATTTCGTTCAAAACTTGACCCACTTGCTATTAAATGCATTTTTCTGGGGTACTCTTCAAATAAAAAGGGGTATAAGTGTTTTGATCCTCAAAGAAAGAAATTTCATGAGTATAGATGTGTCGTTTTTGGAAACAAAACCTTATTTCACAAAAAAATCTCTTCAGGGGGAGACAAGTGATGTAGAAGACAATTTTTAGGACATTTCTAGCCCACTACCCAATGTCATTTATCCTACACAAAAACCACGCATTTCTGAGAGTGGTCGCTTTGAAAATCCAAATTCAAGTGTTTCTAATAACGATTGCCTAGGAGAACCAGGTTTGTTGGTGCCTAATGAAGGAGATTCTCGTTCAGGGGGAGAAGTACTACAAACTAATCAACG